TTTGCTTTGATATTTTCCTCTTTTAGATAAAGGATCAACAATTTTTTTCTGTAAAGCATTAGATAATAAATATCTTTGGTGTTGTTGGTTACATAATCTCACAAGTACTCAGGGTTCAACTCTGTTATTGAAGCTTGAAAGCAACCATAAATAACAACCATAAATACAGAAAATACTTAAACTTAAAAATAAACCAATAAAACTTTATTTACAAAAACAGTTAATAGTTTCCCAAACCCTGAAATAATCCAAGAAATCTTGCAGTCATTTTTTTCATCTTGGTTATAGTCCCCATACAATTTCCACCCACCTTGTTTTGATCCTACTCCCACCTCCCCTTCCCCCCATAATGTGTCTCTGGTTTATAGTTGCTTGTTGATTTTGATTTTTACTTTATTATAATTAGTAAAAGAGGCAATCATTTTGCACAGGATTAGAAAGAGCAAACCACATCTGCTTATAACATATAGTTATGCTTTAAATAGTTACATATTATTTATATTTTTATTTTATGGGATGAGTTGTCATTCTTAATCCATTCAATAGCTTCACACAACTCTATGTGAAAAAATTCCCTCCAGATATTTCCTTTACTACATGGTTAGGTGGAACTTTCATAGCTACCATAATCAAGACCCTAGCCCAGAATAAGTAAAGTTGAATAAGCTGTGATCTTAAAAATAAACCTATTTCCCTTTGTTGTTGTTCTGTATTTATATGTAAGCACATACATACATACATACATACCCACCTCCAGCTTTTTGTCTCTTATCCATGTAATAGGTAAAAAAATAATTGGAAATTTCCATTTGAGAGACCCCTGAAAGAACCTCTCACAAATATCAAGGGGTGTCTTTGAGTTAACAGTATACTTAGCAGGTTTCTAAACATTAGATACATGGAAGTTAGTGTTTCTGATTTGAAGTCAAGTTAAATTGTGTTCTCACTTGGAGTTACAAAACAGTATTAAATAATGCAGTTTTTTCATGAGACATTAATAAAGAAGAAAATAAACCATTGGGCTTGGGCTCTCCCATTTTCTAATTGTCACTTTTTTTGAAAACCATCAGAAGAAGTAGAGTATAGGGCCTCCCCAGCGGCACAGCATGTTGAGCGCAGCGCTGTGAAGCTGTCCATAGCCTCTGCAGTGCTGGTTCGATTCCTGGCTGGCCACGGAGATCCCCACATGGCACAGCAGACCTCTTCTGACTCACCTGCTGCTCCCCTCAGAAGTGTATTTTGGTCCTTCTGCCTGTTCTGCTCCCTGCTCTGTCTCTGCTGAATTCTCTCACACTCTCACACCTTGGGCCTGTACCCCAGTGCTTGTATAAATTAATAAGTCTTTAAAAAAAAAAAAGAAGCAGAGTATACACGCATTCCATACAATCTGGGTGTTATACATATACAGTCTGATAAATTTACATATACTCTATATTTATATTTATAAAATCTGTATTTTATATGTACTTTATATATATATATATATATATATATACAGAGAGAGAGAGTAATTTATCAGCTTTTTCACTTGCTAAGTTGGTAAGAGTCTCAAGCAGGGTCAATATATAAATGCTTTGACTACTGAACACTGTATTTATACAAAGAGTTTTTTTATCTTCATGATTAATGTTGACTATGATATTTTTAAAAATATCTTTTAGAAATAAGAGTAAATGTTTCCATTTGGTCCCGTGGTTACTATTCAATTGCCGAAATTCCACATTGCTAGGAATGCTATTTTACCATATTCAAATAGGTCTTAAATTGTTTTCTAGTCTTTGAGGATTTTCAGATACAATATAGACTTTTAAAGAAATGAATTGTCTGCAATGCTTTTCAAAGGTATAACTACATCAAAAACTTCATAAACTATAAGCCAAATTAAATTATAGCAATGTATTTCTCTGTAGTTTGTTTTATAGTCTTCAATGCTATGTTCAGAATATATTTTAAAGTAACAAAGGAGCAAAGGAACAAAAATAATCTTTCCCCTAATCTGGCCTGACATAATCTTAACTTCCATTTAAATCTATATAAATTTTCATTACTAATTTTAATAATTGACAATATAAAGCTTTATCATAGGTGAAAGAGAGGAATGAGGTGCTCTCAAAAGAACCAAGTACATTTTAAAGCACAAAGGGGCTTTTTAACTTCTTAAAAATCTTTCTCCCTGGTTTCCTAAATGTTTTCTGGTTATTTAAAAGGTATTTAGAGTAATTTCTCATCTGCTTAGGTTTCTTTTAGCTCAGGAAGAAATTGTAAAGAAAATGAGATTACAGCTAAATGGAAGAGATTTACAACACTCAAGAAACTCATATATATATATATTATATGCATTCATATCATATAATACAACAAAGTTTGGAAGGTTTGCTTATAATTTAAAATGTTTATAAATGAGATCTTTCATGTATGCTTTCTGAGAAAAGAAAGCAGACACAAAATTCTGTGACCATCAATTGCCACTGGAAGTGTTCCCAAGGATGAGTTTATCAGAAAGTGCTTGTCTATTTTGATTAAGAATGCAGATCCAGACTAACATTTTAAAATCTGGCTCTACCATTTAGTAAATATGTGAGAGCAATAGTATACCTAACAATGCGAAGACGAACTAGGTTACCACCCAGTAATAACTCCAAAACTCAATGACAAAACAAATCTTAAGTCTCATTCCTGCAAAGCTCACTATAGGTTCACAAGGATCTCCAGGGCATCTGTGATCCTTCATTTGGCTCAACATTCCAGGCTGCTTGAATATTATGCTCTCTTCCTATTGGTAAGGCCTCCATGCTATAATGCAGGGATAGAGAAAGCTTGGAGAATCCAAGCATCAGTTCTTATAGACTTCTGTCTTTTCTTTGATGCCAATATTGATTAGTAGGCAGAAAAGAAAGCAGGTAGCACAAAAATTAAGATGAAGTTAATTTAAACTATTAAAAAATTATAACATCTAATTTTAAACTTTGAAAGTTTTAATTTGAAAATTTGTAGTAATCCAATCAAGCACCTTATAATTGTGTAAGAGACTCCAAGGGAAAGTATAAACATTTTTACACATGATTATACAACCAACTATAGCATATTCTGGAGTCAAATTCATCTCTTTATAACTCCCTGCTGGCAACAATTCCACCACTAGCCTTTCCTAGAGTGCTGGATACTCTGGTCTCTTCCCTCATATCTTAGTGCCTACAGTAGTTCCTTTTCCAAATTTGTATTTATGGAGAACCCAGAAAGTCCTCAAGTCTTAAATAGTATTGCAAAAGTTTTTATTAATTTCTATTCATTGTATTTTAACAGGATGATATTTATTGTCCAACCAAATGAAAAATTCAGGGTTAAATACCGTATTAAAAAATACTGTTTGCTTATGGCAGGAAAAAAAGTCTGAGACGAGAGGCAGGATGGCATGTCCCAAAACTTTGAATATAATAAAAAATCACGTGTGCTTATTATTTTGTATTTCCTGAAGCAATATTATTTCAAAGTAAATTTACTTCAGACCCTTCTTATATCCTACTGCAAGTTTTTGATGGTCTATTACTATCAATAGGGAGAGTTGGAATACTGAACTAGTCATCACACGTGGGTGATGTTTTTATTTACTGAGTGAAGGGGAAACCAAACATACTGAGATTAGCAAAGCACCTATTGTATTTATGGAGGTATATTATTGAAATGATAATGTGATTATTTTCCACTTGAACAGATTCAGGTTCAAAATGTAGCTTCAGTTATTTCTAAAATGAATGGAATGATCAGAGTTATTATCACTTCCACTATCTTAGATTATTACCATATCAACTTTCTCCTTCCCTTCCCTTGCTTCCATGCAGACCCCAGCACTGTGTGGGGAAGGCAACCTGGTGCTGTGCTTGCACTGAGGAGGACTGCCACCCCAAAATATTCAGAAAGTGCTGGGTCAGACTTCTGCTGCCTGTTAATTTAACACTGCTAAACCACTCACCTTGCAAAACTGACAATTCTTAAAATGTGTTCAGAGGTGCCATCATTGCGCACAACACTGAACATAGCCTCCCTTTTAGGCCCTTTACAGTTTCATCTGACTCATTAACAAGAAATATTACTTATCTAGACAGCCATTCATTTACTTGATGGCACTGACAGAAAGTAGTTATATGCCTAAAGCTAGAATGGCTCTACCCAGATTCTGCAAAATACTATTCTGTGCAATGAAGACCATAATGACATCTTTGTTATTAAGCGCCAAGCATGTTTTTTACAATGAAGCTGGCACATCCTTACTTTTATAAAAGGATTGATAACATCCTTCCTCCAATGGATGATGAATCAGAGAAGTCTAGATAAGAACAAAAGAAGCTCCCTAGTGAAGTGACTTAGACCTCTCAGAGGTATTTGACATTCACAGCAAGACTCAGTAAATATACGGGTTAGTATTTAATGCTAAAACCAAAGGGGAAGGCTGTGCAAGGACATTGTTTCTTGCTTCAAATGAGGAAAGCTGCAAAGATGTACATCATTTCCCTCTACACTGAGCTCCCCTCCCTTTCCGTTCCTGCCTCGCTCTTGCTGGGAGCTGACTCCTCCTTCCTGCAGTTGGGAGGATCACAGCTGACAGAACACAGTGCATCCAAAGAGAGCCTGTGTTCAGCCTCTCTCTCTCTCTCTCTCTCTCTCTCTCTCTCTCTCTCTCTCTCTCTCTCTCCTGCAAAGCTGAAACCTACCTGACAATCTCTCCTTTTGAATCCAGCTCTGGAACCAAATGCATCATTTTTACTGCACTTAAAAAGTGAACAGAGTTTGATTACCTCCAGGTACACGCTTCTTTGCTCCAAAAGAAGAACCCAGGAATCCTTATCAAACTACCTGAGAAGCTTTTGCTTTTGTGCCTGAAACTTGACAGTTTCAGAAGGGAGTCTTTGGTCTGTTTTTATTTGGAATGTTGAAAAGTTTCTTACTGATGCTGCAAATGAAACCTAATTTTTAAAAATGGGTTGAGTCGGATCTCATGGAGAAGTGCCTATTTTCTGCAAGATCAATGGGACATCATCTGTATCTGTCTACAGGGCAACTTGGTAGGAGAAAATGGGATCTGATTTGCATACTTTATTTTAAGAATACTTACAGACTCATTGAAAGAAAAATTAAATACTGACCAAGGACAATGTCTGTACTTTCCAGTAACTTATCAACAAATGACTCTACCTTGTGGAAAGAAAATCACAATTCGACGGACCTTTTTAATCCACCAGGAACTTTGAATATTTATCTTTTTTGCTTGACAGGCTTAATGACTCTTGCAGCCCTGGCAGGCAGCATTTATTCGCTAGTTTCCCTGCTGAGAATGCGGAACAGAACTGTTGTGTCCCTGCTTGTGGCTTCCTGGTCTGGGGATGATCTCATGAGCGTCCTGTCTGTGACTATCTTCATGCTTTTGCAGTGGCCAGACCAGGTCCCTGTCTACTTTCAGCCTCTGTGCACCACCTCTGCCTTATTATATTTATGCCAGGGCCTCTCGAGCAACTTGAAGGCGACTCTCCTAGTCTCATACAACTTTTACACGATGCACAGGGTTGTGGGAAGCCAGGCAGCCTCCAGAAGATCCGGTCAGGTACTCGCCGCCGCGCTGCTGGTGTGGGCAGCCTGTCTGCTGCTGTCTGCGCTCCCGCTTTGCGGCTGGGGGGCCTTCGTGCGCACGCCCTGGGGCTGCCTGGCCGACTGCTCCAGCTCCTACGTGCTGCTCCTGTTCGCCGTGTACACTTCGGCCTTCGGGCTCCTCGCGGGTCTCTCCGTCCCGCTCATTCACCAGTTGCTGTGTTCCGAGCAGCCGCCGAGACTCCACACCAACTACCAGGAAATTTCTCGCGGAGCTTCCACTCCCGGGACTCCCCCAAGTGCCGGGACAGTGCTTTCCCAGTCTCCCGGCGACGCTCCGAGCCCCGCCCCGCGGTGCTCTGCGACCTGCTCTCCGAGCTCGGACCCAGGGTTTGGACCCGGTCTGCCCGCTTCGGCCGGGCGAGGTTCTGGGCGCGGCGCTGCTGTTGGAACCGGAGCCTGCGGGCGTGAGAACCCGAAGAGGACTCTCTTTGGCACCAGGAGCCTCGCAGCGACCATAGCGCAGAAGCGCTTCTCCTTCATCCTAGCGCTGACAAAAGTCATCCTTTGGCTGCCTATGATGGTAAAAGTGCAGTTACTCGCAGTGCGCGGGTGTGTGTGCCAGACCGTGTGAATGCGTGTTGGGACAAGAGTCTGGTTTGAGAGTCACCGGAGATGGGCCGTTAAGTGCGTCTCTAAAACTCAGCCAGATAACATTTGGAAGCGGACTGAGCAGCGCATCCCCTGGTGACTCCCCAAACCAGGCAGAGTATTTTGGTGTATGGTGGGGCAGGAGGTGGTGGAAGGGAAGTAGTAAGAAGATTAAAGGATTCCCCCCTCCCCCGCCCCAACACGTTAGGAGAGAAGGGGAGGAAGGGCAAGCAGATATTAATTAGAGGCAGAGAGAACAGGCTTTTGTTCACTCCAGTTGAGAGGTGGCCAGGTGGCACCCTGCTATGACAAGTAGGCCTGGCAGGAGGTGAGGGCCAAGGGATGTGACAGAGGTCATTGCTTTCCTGCGCACCATCAACACCTTGTGGTCTTCGCTTTCCTGTTGGAAACGTGGGTGATAAACCCGCACAGATCTGGTACTCAAAAGCCAACCTTGCCTCGCCTCCCCACTCCCATCCCCAAATCCCAAAGTCCTTCCAGTTTCCTCCAGTAGCTCCCAGTAGTCCACTACCCAAGCCAAAAGCGCTGTAGTCTAGGACCAGAGTTTCTGGCTCTCCAGGAGGAAAGGTCCTGGAGAAGGACGGGGGCAGGTTGCTTTGGGAAGAGCTGGGGGAAGTGAAAAATGTGAGCCTGGGATAGGTCTGAAGTTCTCTGCCTTTGCAGATCCACATGTTAGTACAGCACATGGTGGGGCTTCAGAGTCTTCCCTTCGAGACATTCAGCTTTCTACTAACCCTGCTGGCCACGACTGTAACCCCGGTATTTGTCTTGTCCAAACACTGGACCCACTTGCCCTGTGGCTGCATCATCAACTGCAAGCAGAACGCCTACACAGTGGCATCTGATGGGGAAAAAAGTAAGTCCTAGATGTTGCAACAGTTGGAAGCAATAAGCACGCAGTCAAATAAAGCAAACAGTCTATTGAGAAAGTTGACTGAGTGGAGGATGAAGAGTCCAAGAACAAATATAAATGGTAAATAAGGGACACTGTATTTCTTAACAAAGTGTTGGAGTAAGTTTTAAATAATGTAAATTTAAAACAATTGTGTGAAGTGCTTCCACAGCAAATAATCATCCTTTAGGTAAAAGAGGAAGAAACAATTCATTCAACACAAGGAGGTCAACGAAGCACCTTAGATGTTTTAGCCACCAAGGCTTTTAGCAAGGAGTAGAAAATAAATGCCCCTCCCAAGTTCACATATAAGAAACTGCACCTGAAAGAGCTTAACTCTCTCAAGAGTTAAAATCTCCAGTTATATTATAGCCAATTAGTATTTCATGAAACAGTAAGGAAAAGCATTTTCATTATTTGCATACTTGTATTCTTACAGAATTTTGAAGATCTTTCAGAATAAACAATAGAAATGCCTGAAAAAAGTTTCAAGATACTATGAAGTCTCTGCTTTTGCTTTTAGAAACACACACATACACAACTACCCCTCAGTTTCAAGAAAGGACAAAGGTAGCAAGGATTTTCAATGTAGATTGGTGTATGAATCTAGTTATGCTGTTTACTAAAAATAAAAAGAAAGCATTTTCTAGATCACACCTAGTGCAGGCATGGGCCAATTACAAAACTCACTAGAGTTTGTTTCCTTCTTGAGAAGAAAAGTTGAGGAATGACCTATGTTTTGACTGCCAAGAAAGAAAGAATATCATTTTGCCATTCCAGACAAAAGATAGTATGCTTTACCATTTAATAAATCTAAAAATGCATTAGTGCATGTTGTTGCATTAATTGTACTTTGCTACAAATAAGCAGGTACGTTATGTTTTAAGAGAAAATGAAGAGTAAATAAAAATGATTCATCTGAGATTATTTTAGGGATAGAAATATCAAAGTATGCTCTGGAGAATACGAAAATATGTTTTGCAAGCAACTTATAACAGATATATTTTATAAATATCAGTCATGAACTGTCATTTTTCAATTATTGATAACATTTAAAATTTAGTATGCCTAGACATTTTTCAAATGATCAGAAGATATTTTAGTGTTAAAGATGCCTTAAAGTTTTATTGTTAATAGATGCCAAATTCACCTATATCTTAAAAATAAAATAACCATGGAATTTATAATTTTAGTAATAAATCTTTGGAGCCACATATAACATAAAAGAAATCATTTGAAAGACTGAAAATTTGGATATTCTAACAAATATTAATATTTTGCCACTAAATCTACCTGGTCTTATAGTAGTTAAGGCTGTGATGGATGTAAGCAAAGTCTAGTGACAGTAAAACGAAATGTGTTAGTGAAGTAGTCTAGGGTGTCAGTTTTAAGAAGTGAAGGCAGACCTATCATGGCAAATGGCTTGGGAAATATTCTATCTTCTGTACAGCACAAGCTAGAAGAGCCTACAAAGGCTAGCTGATTTAATAACCATATTAATATCTCAGTTTGAAATTTTAAAAAGTCTTTCAAGATCAGAATAATATTTTCCTCTAAAATTATCCTTACTTGTATTTATTCCAAAAAAGGCATTGAAATATGGAGGTTGATTAAAAAAAGACATGGCTTCAAAAATAAAACATTGTAAAAAAGAAACATTAATTTAGGATGTCCACAGTTCAAATGACCTCGTCACTTTTATGATCCCAGGTTCTGCTATAGGAAAAACCTGAGAATAAGAATGATGTGTTGTCACAGTCTGAGAACTTACCATCAATTTTCTTATTGCTAGGATGATGTAGAAACTGAATTTCAAAACCCCATAAGATGGTATCTTCAAGTGGGCTTGGTACTTGACAGGCTATAATACTTTGATTCTCTATAATATTTTTGATACTATGGCTCAAGTTTCACATTTAAGCTTTTTTTCTCACACCAAGTACTTTACATTCTTTGCTAGTGAGCTTCAGGTGCAAAGAAAGGAAAATATTTTTCATAAAGGTTCATTTTGCAAATGTAAATATAATTCTACAAGTCAGCTTCCTTGAGTAAAAACTAAAAAGAATGCAACCAGAAAATAAATGTCAATAATGGAAACTAATTTTCAGTAAAAATAATTCTCTCTTATTTCCAACAATCATCACATCACATTACTAGTGTCTTAAAATAAAAATGTTTTATTTTGAAAGATGATTTTAACACAGGTATCTCAGATGATACACATTAGGGTTGGCTATGACTTTCAGGCTCTTTAAGTTACATGTGATGATGTTTTGATTTTAATTAAATAGTTAAAATACTTTATATAAAAATAAGATTTTCAGCTTTTATCTTTTGACCAAATCCAAGTATCTGGAGACAGTACTCAGAAAAAATTTATTTTTATAAGCTGATATAATTTATTCTGCCTATAGTTTTTATTAGCAAAATGTGATTAAAAGCAAAAGACTAGAGCTAATTCATGCTTTATCCAGGGTTTTGTGCCAGTGAAGTTTTACTTTTCAGAACAAATACAGTATTGTATTTTTTTCATAAATGTAATGTAGTCTTCAAAAGATCTTGGGCTTCAAAACTTTCTTATGGTCTTTAAGTTTCTCTTATTAGTCAATTAAACATATCTGATTATGCACAAAAAAGGTTTTTAAAGAAATTAAATTGTTTTCTCAATGGCATATAAACTGGAATCAGGAACTCTCATGCCTTTGAGGCCTTCCTCCCATAAATAAGTCATTTTTAAAGTTATCACTTCTCTTGAAATCGTATTCTATTCAGCTAGCATCATTATGTCTAGGGTAAGCTGACACAAACTTTCCCTATCAGGCATAATAAATCAGGCATAATTTCCATAGCTTGCTTCATTCACGTACTCACTCACTCAACAAATATTAAGGAAATGGTCACTATATGTCTAGCACTGTACCCACTATGCTCAATATGGAAACGAAGTTCATAACTCAGGGCTCATGAGGTGAATTTGACTCAAAATGTGGTTTTATAATTCTCATTATTTTTAAAGAAATTTAATTATGTATCCAAAATTTTAAATGTGGAGGTTTTATACCAAAATCCATGAATTTGGATTGTCTTAAGTAATCAAGAGTTGATAACATAGCCCCCATGCCTTCTGAAATAATAGCTACTGACAAGCACCCTACTCTAAAAAAAGGACTTTCCCATATGTTATATACCTAGACTTTATTATTATTAATGTCCTCAACTGGCTCTGATGGATATTTAAGTTATTTTATCTTTGGTTCATAACAAAACAAGACATAGTCTTTGCCCACAAGGAACTTGAAGATGATCAGTCGTTGATCCTGATACTAACATTGCACCTCAACATAGTTATGATTATTAATTGTACTATTTAAAAATACTGTATGGAGGATTTCCCCTTATAGTTAGTCTCTACTTACACAGTGTTATCTCGGTTATACTATTAGAACCTATTAAAGATTAGTTATCTTAGTCAGAATTTACCTTTAGTGTTAAGGAAAGTCATTAGTAAGAAATCTTTTTATTAATTATCATTTCATAATTAATGTACTTCTCCAAAGTTAAAGATAATATATCTGGGATACTGTGCTTCTATCAACATTTCTCTCATGGTTCTCATTAACAGGAAGTAATTTCACATAGACTAAGTCCAATATTGGAGTCAGTTAGCTTTACATTCTAATCTCTACCAGCTAAGAAATCTTAGGAAGGTTTTTTTTTTTTAAGCAGCCTCAGTATTCTCATCTACAAAACAAGACCAATAAACTTTTTATTATGTAGGGTATTGCTGATTTAAGTTACATAACCTATCGTGTACTTTGGCCCAGGAATGTTCTATTTCCTTAAGGATTCATGCACAAATAGAAAATCAGTTCTTTGTATATCTGAGACAACATATGCCTTCATCATCACTCCCTATATTCTGTCAACTCTGCCTCTATATGCCTGTCTATTCTTTCTTGTTTACACAGTTACTTTCACGGTACCTGTAAGGTCCATCACATTCCCACTTTCTTCTCATAGTCTACTTCTGACTGCCTCCTGCATCTCATGACAAGGAGGCAGATTCTCCATTGACACATTCTGCACACTCCTTCAAAACCATTATTCATTTTTGCTTTACATATTTCATAGTTACAATATTCAGCTAAGAAAATATATATCCACATATATCAATTGTATCATGTTATGTGCTAAAATTGGGATTTTATGAAAGTTTTTATTTAATATCCCCGAACTGACAATTTTTTGATGGAAACCCATCAATAATTAAAACATCTTTTTAGTTCCTCTGGTTTTCACACTGTTAAAGTAAGTTGAAATCCTAATTTTATTTTAGTAGACTATTTTACTAGAAAAAGTAAATAGAATTATAAATAAGAAGTGTATAAAATGTTAATATCTGTTTCCACTTTTTCATTTTCTTTGAATAGATGTTACTTTCTATGTTCTGGCTTGAACAATGAATGCTTTGACTCAAATCATGAATTATATCTGCAAATTCTATTTTTAAGTCATCCCAATTTGTTTGTAAATCTTCAGTTCTGGGTAAATTTCAGAAATAGAATCAGTGTGTATATGACACTAGGACATATTATTAAATAACTCAAATTAATTCTGATGTCCCCATAGAAATTTTATCATTTTTCAAAATTTTCCACCTAGGGTACATAAATATGTGCTATAAAACATATACCTATCAAAGTAGAAAAAAAAATCTGAAATGAGCCATGTATTCAAAGATGAAAATCCAAGCATTAAATTGTAATTTATCTACCATCTTGATATAATTTCATTCTTAATACATTTTTTAAATTCGAGTACTCAATGACATTCACAAACAAAATTGTATAAATATCTGTCATATTCTCCTTTGTTATTCTAAGACCAGAGACTAGTGTTTAGATACCATCATACATCACCTCATTTAAACCCTAAAATGTTTTGTGCCTTCCTGTTAAATTTATCTTGTAATTAATCAGGATTATAGGCATGTTGTAAAATGCTTCTGCTCACAGAAATTGCAATCTATCACTTTTATTTACAATTTCCTTCACATTCATATCAGAATGTACATGCTATTGTAGAAAGTTTAAAAACTGCATTGCAGTACTGTCTAATTTTAATGTATGAATTTATAAACATAAATATCAGGAATAGCATGCATCAAAATACTTAAAAAGGTTTGTCTGTTGGTGGTATTGTCAGATGAATAACTCAAATAATATAAAGGGTTACTAATAACTAATTTAGAGTAACAAAATTTATAAACAACATATTTTATCTCCAAATCAAGGAATGTACAGGTAGTTGATATACTGAAAAGCTAAAATTAAGGCAGTGTAGTTGAGCCTTTTAATTTATAATTAAGTTTTTAACACACATAACTGCTTTAAAGACAGAAGGGTTCTTGGCGTTGTATGAATTTCAAACCCCTCATTGTACAACTGAAAAACATTAGGCCAGATTGATAAGATGACTTGAGTTTGTGAGGAATAATTGTTTTGCATAATTGAAAGAATAAATGAAGACAGCATTTAAATTCTTATCAGTCAGATTGAATGCACTCTGCTATTTTATTCACTGTGTGTGTGTGTATATATCAGGAACTTTTTGTTTGTTTATTTTACTTAGCCAAGAGGAGAGGCTTTGAATTCAATCTATCATTCCAAGAAAGTTATGGAATTTATAAAATTACACATGAAGATTACTTTGATGATGATGAGAATTCTACATCCTATCACAATCTCATGAACTATGAGCGCAAAACGACAAAAAACACTCAGAGCGACACTTGTAATATCTTCAATGCCATAAAAGTGGAAATCAGCACCACACCATCTCTGGACAGCTCCACTCTAAAAGGCATCAACAAATGCACAAATACTGATATTACAGGAGCTAAACAGGATTTCCACTTTGAAAGGGGTGTTGACCCATTGCTTTCTGAAAATACAGGCAGTGATATTAACTATGAAGAAACCACCTATTTGGAAGGACCAGAAAGAAGACTTTCTCATGAGGCAAATCAGAAACCAGACATTTCAGACTGGGAGTGGTGTAGGAGTAAATCAGAAAGAACCCCCCGTCAGGTACAGTAAAAGTTGTTCTTCCTGTGAAACTAAAAGTGAGATCAAATATTATAGGAATGAAAAAAATATCAGTTGCTTATTTCATTCAGTCAAGGTTAATTTCACTTGCCTCAATTTTCATAATACTAATTTTAATTTCAAGGTGTCTTTTGAAGGACTTTTCATTTTGCTTGATTAACTATATTTTTTCAAAATATATGTATTTTGAATTGTAGATTTATATAGATTCTTTGAGAAAGGTAGAGCTACTATTTTAACCTCAAGCAATCAATTTAAATTCAGACTAGACTTGTTACATATTACTTAATTTGTAGTTTTTATTATTCTCTCTCTTACTCAAACAGCACTCCACAAGTCCCCAAGAAATGTTTTATTTTTTATATAAAGGTAGAACTATTTTTACAACTAGTGAGAAGAGTAGTCCTACTGAAACTATACTAGACAGTTTTGCCTATTAGTCTTGCTATAACTAGTTCTTCCATTACTTAGCAAGGGGGTTGGGGGATCTAATCCAGGATACACTCAAATGAGACTTTGCAAACCCTGCTGAATGTACCATACCTTTAAGGATGTTAAGGATGGTTTTATGAAACTGAAAGAATTAATCTAAACTTCTACAGTCCAGTCTGCTTAGAATGGTGAGGGATATTTATTTTTATGAAATTTCATTGTAACATGATGAGATAATTCTTTCCTCTAAACTCTCATATCTGATGACTAATGTTGCTCTTGTTTTCCACACTATTGATTTATTAGGAAATGGAGTCTTTTCTGTAAGATTTTATGGATATCAAAGTCCACTTGCACATAGTCTCTGGAATTCGGAAATATTTGGAAATTCCAGAAATATCTGCTAGAGATAATGCATTCATTGACCAAAACTATGACCATATAGCACCTACTATGAATATAAACAGAATAATCTGATATTTCCTTTATTTTCATTGATTAATTTAAACTACTAGATTACTCTGTATATAATAATAGAACAAAATATATGTATTATAACAAGAAAAGATAATTGTGCATATTATTTAAAAATTAGGTATCCCAGGAAAATATTACCAAGTATTTGCTTTAAATTGAATAATATAAAGTGTATTACTGAAAGAACATGATACCTTAGCTGAGAGGGGAGTGGCAGTACTTCATCATCAATTAGTTTCTGAATTATAGAAACCTCACAGTTTTCTTGCATTAAAAAATTAATTAATATTCATGATGAAGTCTGTGTATGTGTGTATGTAACCCAATAATATGCAACTACCTATGTGCTATTCCCCTATCCTATTCTCAATCATAAGCCTTAATAGGTTACAGTTATTGTGACTCTTATTCATGCATTTTTGTTTTTTTATAAATTAATGTACTTCTAATACAGTATATTGTTTAGTTTTGCTTATTTTTAGTTTCTAAAGATAGCATCATACTGTTACATTCTTCTGAGATATTGTTTTTTTTCCCACTAGACATTACTTTGACTCCATTTTCTTGTATTTTCTCAAAACATTGGAAATTACCATCTAAAATATGAGAAAACATCACAAGTAGCCCAAATTTAAAAGTCTCAGTTGAAGTTTGGAATGTATAATCAATCAACTATATGTACAAATACAAAAAAGGGTTAAATCCTTTATATATATAAGTATAGTACCCTATGATACTTATGAAGCAAAACTTATGCAAAAAATCTTTAAATCAAAAAAATATATGTATAGAAAGCACACAATTTGATGAATACATATATCTTTCAAAGATTTGCTTATTGAATAGTATTAATATTTTAATATCTGTGGGGAGCAAATAGCTTAGGAAACTGAAAATAGTAGCTGTGAAAAAATGCTTGGTGGTAAAGTAATACAATATTAAGGAAATATAAAACTTTATGTTTAAAGAATAGTTGAAATTAAATGAAATTTTATGGAATTTTACTACATTTGATCTTAGCCAAAAGGCCTCTATCAGGAATTTTAAAATAACACTAAACAATCCTTAAGCCATAGGCTTAAGCTATTGGTTTGATCTTCCATTTACAACTAAATTACACTTAGGGTTGAAAGGCCTATGAGAACTTTTCCAGACCAAAGATAGATTTCAGCTCTTACCCAATTCTTCAGCAGCAGATATTTCAGGGGAGTAGATGGTAACTTAAAAAGAAAGCACTTTCTTTTTCACCCTTTTCTTCCCAATGCCACCTTTGCTTTGAGGCAATTTTAACTTATGTTTTAATTTTCCGTTTTAGCGAAACATTGAACTGGGGTACACATTGCAGTTTACACTATGAAAACACTGTCTCTGATTTTCTATGGCTGTACTTTCAAATATTTATCAATTCAAATCTAATAGTACTACAGTGAATAACATGTGTTCTTTGTTCTCAGGCTTTAAAGGAAAGTGGGTTTAACTTTATTGGTAAATGTCATGTAGTACACATATATTTAATTTGTAGGTTATATGCACAACTGATGCTTATATGATGTTATAATGCAATGTTACTTCAATTTAAGAAAGAATAAAAAATAATCTAAATATATAAATATGTATTCCAATAACAGGTCTACGGAATCAGAATCCCCCAGTTGGCTCATACGCATATTAAAATTTAAGAAGTATTGCTTTAGATTCTAATCACTAGAAGATAGATATTAGTTTAAAGGTCAGAACAAAATTAACCCTTACCACTTAAATATGTCCCATAATGTACAATAAGGCTGGAAGAAATATCCAAATACATCTCTTTCCTTTCCCTAAAAAATGCATTTTTCTCTTTTCATTTTTAAAAATACATTACAAAAAAGTTAAATCAGTCAGCCAATGTTGGTGTTTCCTGTGACACTGTTAGCTTGTTATAGATACTTAAAATGTTCTCTGAGTAATTTTTGACATTTTTAACTGAAGGGCTATAGGAAACAAAATTCACTTATTACCTTCTATTTGTAGCCTCCAGCCAGTCATCCTAACACGAGTGACTCTCTAGAGTACAGAAGCTTTATTGTGGGCTACATGCATTTGTTTGGTATTACTGTTTAGAGATCTGAAAAATTGTCACACTGCTTTCTTTTATATGTATATATAGGCATCAAAACAGTTATGAGTTCTACTGTTTTATTATTACAAAAGTAATATAGAATTATTATAGAAAATTTGAAACTGCTGATAAGCAAAGAAAAAACACCCACTACCAACAACCCAAAATTAACCTCTGTTTACATTTTGTCCTATAAAACTTTAGACTCTTTTCTATGTACTTATTTTTACTTTGACAAAAATAAGATCATACTTCATGTACTATTTTGGAATCTGATTTCCTTAAGAGTATAATTTTTATCTGATTTAAATTGTTCAATCCCTTGTGTGACTACCTAGTATAGAATGGCAATTTTGAATGTGACTGAAAACTCTTCCATGAATGTAAATTTGTTAAGAAGGGTTTGAAATCTTTGAAAGTTGAAGTTAATGGAATTTTATTGTAAACTAATTTGAATTTTTCATGACACATTTTTGTGATCCTCACAGCATGTATTATTTGCTGACATGAAGTAAAGTCGAACTGTTCATTTTTTACAAATTCAAGGATTAGCATTGGATCAAAGCTTGTTGGAATACTTTAACTCAACTTTTAAGCTAAGAATTCTATTAATGTTCTCAAAAACATTCTCATGGCTTAAGGAGACCTAAAAAGGCTATCTATTAAAACCACCTAGCTATGCTTGAATCTCTTCTACAATCTCTTACTGGACTATTATCCTTTACTTTAACTCAAGTAGCTGGAAACTCACTACATTTTTTAAATGTGTTATTGTGAACTTATTTTTAATTTACAAAAAGGTTTCAAAAACAGTACATAGTCTTCTAATATACCCTTCATCCAGCTTTCACTAATGTTTATATATTACACAGTGATGATGCAATTGATAGGAAATTAATAACTAATTTAATCCTTATTTCAATTCTGCCAGTTGCCCTGATGATGACTCTTTCTGGTTCAGGACTAATTCCTGAAGCCATATTGCATTTGTTGATTCTCTTCAGTCTCCTCCAGTCTGCATCAGTTTCTCAATCTTTCTTTGTTTTACATATTTTTGACATTCTGAAGGCTACTGACCTGTTTGTTTTGCTTCTGGAATATCCTTCAATTTGTAATTGCTTTATGTTTTCTATTGATTAAATTGAGGTTAGGCATTTTGGCAAGGCTAACACGGAAGTAATGTTTGCCCTTCCCAGTGCCTTATAACCTCAGGTACATGATGTTGATACGTCCTAGAATGTTGATATAAAATTTCATCACTTCATAAAAATTCTCCTTTAAGGAAAAGCTGTCTTTTCTCCTCCATTTACCTTTATATCAGCTCACAGAGAGGCTCCTCATCCTTTTTTATAGCCATATAATAATTCATGATATGGATACAAATAGTTAATGCCACCACTATGTATATGGGTCATTAAATTGTTTCTAATATTTTTATATTGTGTCCTACCAACATGAGATGTGACATTAGGAAGCATATTACAATGAATATTATGCATATATATTTTCATATTGTTGGAGGTATATCTTCAGGATAAGCTCCTAGAATTAGTATTTTAGAGTCAAAAGATAACTGTTCTTTTGATTGGAATTGCCACATTCCACCACAGAAGGTTTATAACAGTTTGTACTGCAATCAACAATGTATAAAAGAGGATCCTTTCACCCCTATTTCGGTAACAGATTATCACACTTTTCAATTTTTGCCAGTATGATAAGAAGGAAATATTTCATCTTATTTGAAGTCAAATAAAATAAAATCATAGATGTTTTCATTTGCTTTGAGAGATAGGTAAATTGAATTGAGGTTAACATTTCAGTAATGCAAGTAAAACACACCTATATACATATTTAGTTCTCAGGTAATGACATAGTTGGAGATCTGAGTTTATAGAACTTGGAAAATTCAGACATAAGAAATGGAGTGCAGTGGAAAACTGGAGAAAGGGAAAACCAAGTAGAACTTTCTTGA